GGACCTAGGGAGCATGCGGGTCAGCCCCAGCTCTAAACAAGACGGAGCCCAGTAAGAACCTTTAGTAGTTCATATAAGTATTTGTATCACACATTTACAATCGCTAAATAATAAATTCAGAGAAACTGATCATTTTGCAACAGTTTTTGCTGCTTAACATTTTTTTTGGAAACAATGTTATCATTCAAAAATTTATAATAATAATAAGAAATGTTTCCTGAGCAGAAAATCAGCATATAAGAATGATTTCTGAAGGATCATGTGACTCTGAAGACTGGAGTAATGATGCTGAAAATTCAGCTTTGCCATCACAGGAATAAATGACATTTAAAAATATATTCAAATAGAAAACAGTTCTTTTAATTTGTAATAATATTTTACGACGTTACTGTTTTTACTGTATTTTTGATTAAATAAATGCAGCCTTGGTGAGCGTAAGAGACTTATTTACATTTTTTGATTTAGTATTTTAGGTTTATTTTTATGAGTGAAAAAGTGTTGGATGGGCTTTTTTTTGGGAAGAATGGCTTGATTTAAGAAGACACGTATGTGTGAGTGTTGTGGTAGTGTTAGTGCATTTTGAATGTAAAATTAACTGCTGTTCCAAGATTAGAAGAACTGTGTGAAGAGTTTTGAAAAAAAAATGACCAAAGTAATGAGAAATGGGTCCTCCTAGTAATTGTAAAAAACTGTTCACGGCATTTTATTTAAGCACTGTGATTAAAGACAGTTGATTTTCTTATATAATATCATAATTTATTTGTGATGTGTTCCTAGAAAAGTGAACGGTTTCAGTGAATAAAGACATGCTTGTTTTTGCACAGAGATGTTAACGCCCTGTGGAGTGAGGCGTATGCGGTCGCCTGGCATCTAGAGGAGGCGTTCAGGAAGGACTCTGCAGGCTGGGCCCTGGACAAGTGCATCAATTGGGATAAAGAAGAGAAAGCAATGCCCAACTTCCTTTCGGAGATCACTGACTGCCCCTGCACGCTGGCTCAGGCTCGTGCTGACACCGGCAGATTTCATGTGGGTCCAGAGCAAAAACTATATCGAATATTAAAGGGATAGTTCACCCACAAATGAAAACTAGCCCATGATTTACTCACCCTCAAGCCATCCTAGGTTTTTTATGACATTCTTCTTTCGCTTCAGAAGGCCTTTATTAACCCCCCTGAGCCGTGTGGAGTACTTTTATCATGCACTTTTATGGACTTTTAAAACAGAAACCGGCCATTCACTGCCATTATAAAGCTCAGAAGAGCCAGGACATTTTTTAATATAACTCTGATTGTATTCGTCTGAAAGAAGAATGTCATATACACTTAGGATGGCTTCAGGGTGATTAAATCATGGGATAATTTTTGGGTAAACTATACCTTTAAGGTTACAACACCAGCAATATTATAATTATTTGAGAATTTTGAATACTTCATCAATCACAAATTCAGGCCTTTGTAATCATAGATAAATGGGGTAAAATGGCTTTAATGAAATTAGCTTAATCTATATTTATTAAAGTGTCTAAACTCGAGCTCCTTTTGATGAGTTGTGCGTGTTTATTTTTCAGACTGATTATGGCTGTGATATCGAGGCAGGTAGTATCTGCACTTACCATCAAGGTGCAGTTCACTGCGTCAGAGCCATACAGGGCAGGTAATATGACACTAATCAGAATTTTTCAATTAGTTGATTAAGGATATGGATTATATTCCTCATATTTTAATGGTTTAATTGAATTTATTTGTCATTAAAACAAATATCACCTACGGACATCACTTTTGGGTGACTACTGTAAACATTTATATTATTAAACATTAACACACATATGTATAAATAAACACACACACACACACATGCATACATACACACAAAGTTGCTAATTTGAGTAATTTGTATTAAATATTAATTCAAAATTCACTACAAATATTTTAGAATAAAAACTGCACACAATGAGGTTGCAAGTACTTTTTGTAAATGTCAATATTGGCCAATATATTGATCTAATTTTAATATTATTTTATACTACTGATATTAAAGCTGCATGTGGGGAAATTACACAGTAACAGAAACACACTGTAGATAATTTTACATTCTCATTCATGTAAAATACATTTTATTCCGTCTTATATTTATTTATCCTGTTGATGTATTGTTTTCTTGCAGTCCTGCGTATGGTGCCGGTCAGCAGTGTTGCTATGACAGCACTGGAGCGCAGATGCTCACCGGGGACTCTATTGGTGGCAGCACCCCTGATCGAGGGCACGACTGGGGGGAGCCGCCGTACAAGAAACCTCCCAGAGTTCCAGCATTCTCACACTGGAAGTATGATGTCATCAGTTTTTACTACTGCTGCCTGTGGTCAGACAACTGCGAATACTACTTCACCCACCGCCCGTCCAGTGACTGCAGAAAATATCGTCCTCCTAGAGCAGGTAAAGAAAATATCTATAATACTTTTCTTTTCTTTTTTATTATTAATTGTTTTATTTAGGCCTGGTTTCACTGACAGGGCTTAGATTAAGCTGGGATTAGGCCTTAGTTTAATTAGGACATTTAAGTAGCTGTTATAAACGTGCCTTAGAAAAAAACATGGTGTGAATCTTGAGACAAAACAATGGCAGTGACATATTTTAAGGTATGCCAGTGCAAGTTGCTTTCAGTTAAAACAGCTCAAACATACATTTAAGTCTGGGACTAGTCTTAAACCTTGTCTGTGAAATGGGGTTAATGTTTTTTTTGTTTTTGTTTTACTTTATTATTATTAGTAGTAGTAGGAGCAGTAGTAGTAGTATTTACATTTTTGCCACTTTTTTGACAGTAATGGTAAAGAAATGTCATGAAATGATAGGAAGAAGATTGGTGTTTGATCTAGAAATGTCGTGAACCAGATGCAACCAAATGCAAACTTGTCAAATCTGATAGGCCACTGCTCTAAATCTTTAGATTTGTGTGCAAATGTTGGTCTTTTCAACCTTTAGCTGCTGTCCTTGGTGACCCTCACTTCATGACATTCGATGGCGTGACTTTCACCTTCAATGGGAAAGGAGAGTACAATCTGGTTCACTCTCCAGCCTATGAGCTGTCTGTGCAAGGCAGGACTGAACCAATGAAATTAGAGAATGGTGAGTTCTATAACCTCCTGTATTAAGAATGGATTGAATCAGACATCTTACATTGAGTTGGCCACGAAAATTGTCCTTTCAGGTTCTGTGGTTATGGCAACCCGACTCTGTTCAGTGGCCATGAGGGAGAAAGACTCTGATGTCATCGAGGTGCGTCTCGGAGAGCAAGAAGATGAGCTCCAGGTCTTAATGAACCAACAGGTGCTTTCCTTTTCAGAGCAAATATGGATCGACCTTAAGGGTAAGACCAGTTTATTTATCCTCTCAAAGACAGTTTATCAAAAGCACAAAATGTAAGAAAGACCCAATCAGCATATTAGAATGATTTCATGTGGATCATGACTCTGAAGACTGGAGTAATGATGCTGAAAATCAGCTTTGCCATCACAATTTGCCAATTACATTTTAAAATATATAAAGCAGAAAACAGTTATTTAAAATTGTAATGATAATGTGTTTTTGTAAAATGCATAATTATTGTGAAATAAATTAGCATAAAATTGGCAATTTTTAATTAGACAATTCTACAATTCTAAATGGAACAAAAATGCTTCCATCTTCGAATTCTTTGTAAATATATCATTTATTTATTATATCATTTATTCTACTTGAGCAGAGTGAGTAGTGAGTTTAAGTTGACAAAATGTCTTAATGTAATCATTGACATCCACGCTTTCTGTTACTTCAAATTTTGAAGGAAAAAAAACACCTTACAGCAGATGTACAAGATGAAAAATCATAGTCCGTTATGCTTGGCAGATTAATTTTATGGGCCGTCTGTTCTCAGTAAACCATCTACAGTATTTGTTTTACGTGTTTGTATATATGATGCATCTGTTTCCTCCTGGTCTATTTTACAGTCTCTGTTGTCTGTGTTTTTCTGTCGTTCCAGGTGTTTTTGTTTTTTCCCCTAAACCCACTAATGTGACGGTGATGTTTCCATCGGGGACAGGAGTAGAGGTCAGAGCAGGTGAAGGGGTCATGACCCTTACTGTTCTACTGCCCCATGTCTTACACAACCACACGCAGGGTCTCCTCGGTACAATGAACGACGACCCTGAGGATGAATTCACCTCTAGTAATGGCCTGATCATCCCTTCCAATAGCAGTGCACAGGACATATTCACATATTGTGCTGGCTGTGAGTAGCCATTTCACTTCACTCTCATACTACTTTACTTTACTCAATTTACCTGCCAGTATAGTCGATGATGAATTTGCAATGATGTTGATTGAAACTGGAATTACAAATTTATACTACTCGTCGTCATCTGATGAGGCTACATGAGCTGATGAGCGCCCCTCCTCTCTTTCACACCCAGTCCTGTCGGGAACCTGGCGAAGGGGGGCAATTTAAAGGACGGGGTGGTGCTGATAATAAGGGGGAGGATGCCATTCTGTCACACTATTTAAGAAATACTTCATCTGTTGTAAAGCTAGTTTGCTAATTCAAAGCTAATTCATCCATGTGGCTTTCAAAATACATATGTGATGTTAAAAGCAATGCAAAAGATTGTTTTGTTCTAACAAATTTAATCAAACGGTATCATAACAGTATCATATAGTAAAGTATTCCATAATAATAATAATTTCAATTGATATAATAGTTATTATAATTATTATTTTATATAACAACAGTACAATGACAATACTAATATATATATGGAGGTTTTTTCAGTTAACCATAGAGCTTTTATTTTGTCTAAAAAAACTGCAGTGAAACTTCTCTTTAGAAATGCTTCTCTTTTTTGGCAACAGATTTATAAACCATTCTCATTACAAACATGGGAAGATCAGTCATAATGAAACGTGAAGTTATTTCCAAAGTTTCAAGCTATAGTTGAAATGTTTTTGCCGTCTTTTCCCCCCCTAACAAAATACCATGTGTTTTTCTTCACCAGGGGCCATTACGAATGAGACTTCACTGTTTACTTACGACTCAACCTACCTCCTGAATGAATATTATTATGCCCCAAAGCACGATCCGTCATTCATCCCTAACTTTTCCATGACTGAAGACCTCGAGGATCCCCTGCTGGAGCCAACGCTGAACCTATGTGCAGGAGAGGGGGCTTCCTTCTGTAAATATGATGCACTAAGCATGCGCAGTCTGCAACAAGGCAATGCCACTCTACTGTCCTACCGGAGTCATACATCCACCAAGAAAGCTCTGGAACCAGGTGAGTGGGAACACAGGGAACCGATTCTGAAGAAGCTTCCAATTCAAACTATTTTGATTTTTGCAGGAATGTTAATAACGCGGATGAGCCGTGTTTAAAGCTGCTGTTTAAACACAACCGATAAACCCACTCATCAATTATGTATTCATGCATCAATTATTTCTACATTAAGTTGCTATGTTGCTTGGCATTATATAGATGGTAGTTAATGAAATGCCCAATCAAGCATAGAAAATAGATCTATTATTCATTTTTATTATCTACAGTAGTGCTAATTAATATTATTAATGTTTTATTTTATTTATTTGCATAAAGCCTGACAAAACCTCGGTACAATTGCTGCAACTACAGCCTTTTGTGGCTCATAATATTGAAATATTGAAAATATTGAAGTTAATTTATTATTATTACTATTGGTTGTAGTAGTACTAGTAGTATATACTGATTAATATTATTAATATTATATTTTATTTTATTTCTTTGCATTAAGCTTAACAAAGCCATGGTAAAATTGCTGTAACTTCAGCCTTTTGTGGGTAATTGCTTAATTTTAAAACACACTGGCATTTTGCTGGGGGTTTTTTTGTTGTTAATTTTACTTTTTCTATTGTTTATTGTTATTATTATTAATTTATTTATTAGTAATATATATATATATATATATTAGTAAAATAATATTATTATTTTATGTGCATTTAAGCCTAACCAAACCAGGGTAATATTGCTGTAACTAAAGCCTTTTGTAGCTAATTGCTTAATTTTACAACAGCTATTTTGCTGAATTTTTTTTTTTTATTTTTTTTATTTTGCTGAATGATTTTATAATTTTTTTTAAATAATTTTGCTGAATGATTTTATAATTTTTCTAAATAATTTTGCGTAATTATTTTATTTTATTAATGATTATCTTCTAAAAGGTGCTTAATGTTGTCACCTGAAATTTCTATTAGTGCTATTCTATCATGCACATCTCTTGTTGTCATTTGTTATGCATTTATCTACGCTATTATGAGGTTAAAGACCAATGCCAGCAATATATGGTGATGTCACAATTACATTTAGCTGTTCATTGAACTTCAGTTGCGAATTAAAATAAAGCAGCAGCAGCAGCACACTATTATAAATGTGACCTCTGACCATTGCTCAGTTATAAAGCATTCGAGACCTGTACATGATAAAGCATTCGAGAACTGTACATGATCTGACTATTATCTGTATAATATATTTTTATGATTTTGTAATGGCTGTGACTTTGTGATCTCAGTGCAATCCTGTGGTTGGCTGTCACCACCTAACCACGGTCAGAAGGAAGGAACCTTGTACCTGGAGCGGGCAACGGTCACGTTCTCATGTAACAATGGATACCGTCTCTATGGGTCCCAGGAGCGCACCTGTCAAGGGGACCGCATGTGGTCTGGACAAGATGCGCACTGTGTGGCTGGTAGGTAAAAGCGGACAAGGGAAAATGTCCTCATTTACTCACACACAAGTCGTTCCAAACCACTAGATGGCAGTGTTTCCCTTTACAAAGTTCACATCCTTGTGTGGTAATTCTTTGAAGGCTGTATAGCAGATGATTCTAGTTTTTACTTTTTCCTCCTTATTCCATTACGGGTGATCTTAGACATCTCACTGAAACAATTGCTGTCCAATCTTTGGATACACTATCATTCAAAAGTTTTGGGACCATAAGAGTTTTTGAAAAAAGTCTTATTCTCACCAAGGCTGAAAAATACAGTAAAAAAAACCCATAATATTGAACGGTAGTGTATACCCAGTGCCTCATCCCTCCACAGTCTTTTTAGGTCTCTAAAGAGACGTCTCTCTTCAGACGGACCGTCAGTCATGCAGACAGACAGACAGAGAGCGCAGCAGTCACACTGACCGACCTGGATGTACTTGCGCTTGTTAACTTTTGACCCGTCTGTCTCATTAGAACGGAACGGCATACTTCCTCTCGATAGGCATCTACAGGATGGATCTGTTTAGAATCTGATCTGGACTCTCTCCATCAAACACATGAATGGTTTATCTGCTCCACAGCTGTTGAGAATTCATCCCCCACTGGCTCTCCAGCCTTTCTGGGGGTTCGTTGGATAACTGAGGAGCCCAAACAAAGCAACAACCCGCTTTATAAAACACATCAGGCCTGCGATCCAAATAATCTTGCACTCAATTTAATTAGTGCACGCTATTGCAAACATGTTGGGAAAAAAATCCACATAAACAAAAAAATAAATGTGGTACTAATGGCGTTCAGCCAATGCTTTGAAGCTTGCATTTGTCAAACTTGATATCGGTCAATGTTTGCTGGTACTAAAAGTACATTGCATACAAGTACACTTTCTAAATCAATAACGCAGCCGCTATCTGCTGCTTTATTGATGAATGATCGGCGAGTTTATTATCAGCTTGATAATCATATTTGTGAACTCTGAAACTTTCAGATAAAGGGTTTTCATTAAACTCACGGTTACTTTACGGTTTGTGTAGGCGCTCTTTTATTACTGCAGGCCATCGTTCGCTCGCCGACATCTCACACAGCCGAACAGATCATTATTTATCATCAGGAAATGTTCTAGATATATGTGCGCTCACACTGCTGCGGTCAGGCAGGACGCTAATGCACGCAGGGTTTTATCAAACTTTTGGCACTGACACTGAGTTTACCAGGTTGTTTAAGGCTGTTTTTGTCAGTCCCACATGTCTCACTTCCCCTGTCTGTTTCTCTCTCTCTCTTCTTTGTCCAATCTCCTCGTTACATGTCTTTCATTAAACTTTACCCATCTCATTCTCTTTATTCCTTTGTCTTTCTCTTCTCTTCAACTGTCTCTCTTTGTACCTACATCTCTCTCTCTCTCTCTCTCTCTCTCTCTCTCTCTCTCTCTCTCTCTCTCTCTCTCTCTCTCTCTCTCTCTCTCTCTCTCTCTCTCTCTCTCTCTCTCTCTCTCTCTCTCTCTCTCTCTCTCTCTCTCTCTCTCTCTCTCTCTCTCTCTCTCTCTCTCTCTCTCTCTCTCTCTCTCTCTCTCCTCTTTACCTGTCTTTCTATTCCTTACCTATCTATCCATTTTGGTCTTTGTCTTTTTTCCTGTTTATCCGTCTCATTCTCTATTCCTTCCTGTCTTTCTCTCATCTTTAACGGTCTCTCTTTTCTATCTCGCTGACTTTCTACTTGTTTCTCTCTCTCCTTACCTGTCTCTCCTTCCTTTGTACCAGTTATTTCTCACTACATCTCTCTCTTTTTACTTGTCTTCCACTCTGTTTTCCTACCTGTTTCTCCTTTTTACCTCTGTCTTGCTACCTGTCTTACTCTCATTTCCCTTTCTCACTACAAGTCAATTCAATTCAATTCAATTCAATTCAGCTTTATTGGCATGAATGTGTACAATAGCACAATATTGCCAAAGTAATAGACATATAAAAACATATAGATAAATAAAAGTGAACAATAAAAAATAAAATAAAACAATTACTAAAATATCAAACAATCAAAATAATAATTATTTGAAAATTTGTACAATTATTTATCCATCTGAGGTTCCACTGGTTGTCCTCATTTCGTGGCATGAGGAGACATATTTTGCAGCAATTATCTCACATTTGGGCATTTCTCCTAGTAAATATGGGATTTTCTGTGTGTCTGATATGGATTCGAATTCAGGGTATATTTGGGAAATGTTTGGGAAGTGTTTTTGTCTTAGTGTACTATATTTGGGGCATGAGGTTAGAAAGTGCAGCTCTGTCTCGACCTGTCCCCGGTCACACTGGGAGCAGAGTCTCTCTCTCTCCATACCATTCTCTCTTCTTTCTCATAATTACATTTTTCTCCTTTCTATCTGTCTCCCTAAATGTCTCTCTTCTTTGCCGATGCCTCCTCTTTTTTTTTACTTGTCTTCACCTCTTCTTTACCTGTCTCTCTCTCCTTTACCTCTCTTTTTCTCCCTACAAGTCTATTTTTCTCTCTCTTCTTTAACTGTCTTTCTCGTCATCATCTTTTTCTCCTTTCTATCTCTCTCCCTTAATGTCTCTCCTATTTTGTGTCTATCTCTCCCTACCTCTCTCTCTTTTTTTTCGATCTTTTTTTATATCCTATCTTCATCTCTCTCCCAACCAACTCTACCATCTTTCGGTTCGTTTAACATGTCTTGCTCTCCTCTTTACCTGTCTCTCTTCTTTACTTGTGTCTCCTCTTTGTATATCTGTCATTCTTCTTTACCTGTCTCATTCTCTATTCCTGTCTGTCTTTCTCTCCTCTTTACCTGTCTCTCTTCTTTACTTGTGTCTCCTCTTTGTATATCTGTCATTCTTCTTTACCTGTCTCATTCTCTATTCCTGTCTGTCTTTCTCTCCTCTTTACCTGCCTCTCTTCTTTACTTGTGTCTCCTCTTTGTATATCTGTCATTCTTCTTTACCTGTCTCATTCTCTCTATTCCTGTCTGTCTTTCTCTCCTCTTTAACAGTCTCTCTTTTCTTTTCACCTGTCTCTCTGATTCCATATACGAGTCTTTTCTTCCTTTGTACCAGTTCATTCTCCCTACGTGTCTCTCTTATTTAACTGTCTTATTGTCCCTATATGTTTTTCTCCTTTGTATCTCTCTCCCTAACTCTTTTTTTGTGTCTGTCTCTTTTTCATCTTAACCTTTCTCTCTCCCTACCATCTCTACCATCTTTCTGTTCTTTTTAACATGTCTTTCATTCCTCTTTACCTGTCTCATTCTCTTTATTCTTACCTGTCTTTTTCTCCTCTCTAACCGTCTCTTTCCTCTTCTCTGACAGCCTACCTCTATCTCTTCTATTTCCATTTCTCTCTCTCCTTACCTGTCTCTTCTTCAGTTGTACCCGTTTTGTTTTGTTGTTGTTATTTTTTACTAAATAAAAAAATAAATAAGAAATATTTATATTAATATATAAATATTACTAATTAATATTTCACTGTTAAATATTTTTTTATTATTATTTATTTTAAAAGTATTTAAAGCTGCAGTCCGTAACTTTTTTGGGTTAAAAATTATCCAAAATAATTTTTGAGCAAGTACATAACCACCCAGAGTTCAAAACTATCTGCTTGCTGTAGCTCGATTCAAAGCGGTAAGCTTGTAATAATGTTTTTAATTCCAGTGGTACTGGTGGATTTCCGCGGGAGATTCGAGCATGTCTTTGCGTCATTACGTCACATCTGTACACATAAAGGAGGAGTCTCGGCTAGTCGGCTATATTGCGTGTGAGGATGCTGGAGGTGGAGATTTATAGCCTTTTCTCACAGCACTTGATAAAATTAAACTTATCAATTTGATGGCGGATCCAGAAAGGTTCAAACGACAATCACCAGTGACAACTAGAGACTCACCCGTTGTAAAATGCAAAAGACTTTGGACTTCAGAGCAGAACAAAAGTGGATGTTACTTACTTGTTCAGATGACATTTTCCGTTGAAAATTCTTATGTTGGTCATACTTCCAAAAAGTAGAATCTGATTCCGAATGACAGTATCCACACCGGCACGGTGACTGACAGCTGCACACTCTCCTCAAAACATTGGATTCATCCGCGCTGTGCCGTGCCGTGGCACAACCCAAGTAAAGTTGATAATTCCGCGAATAACTGCAATTGCAGATTGTGGATACGGACTGCAGCTTTAAGAAAAATAATATAATAATTGTATTTTATTTTACAGTACAACTCAGAAAACCACAGAGTGCCCTTAAAGCTTCTCTTTTATTGACAGCAGCCGGTTTATAAGAGCTGTTCATTACATATTTGGAAAGATGGTTGCCTCATGTTGCGTCCCTGAATGCGCATTATAAGCAACCCAAACTCAGAGCAGATGTAGAGATAAAGTTCTTTTCTCCAAGTGTGAGCGTGTATTATCAGCTACTGACAGTTTGGTGGGTGTTTTTTATGTATAAAAGTAATTTTTCAGTTGTCAAAAAGGATTCAGACAGATCCGCTCTAGTTAACGTGAAAGCACGACCTACAGATAACCCCACTCTACACACATACACTACATCTTTTCATTCCTGTGATATGGTCGTATCTGTTGCTCTTGAGCACGTCTATAGTCATTATCTTTGTTTTGAAGGTCGGCCATCTCAGGCTGGCTCTCTTAAGAGCTGACATGTGTCATAGTGTCTTGGTGATCGAGGGGCTCAGGACTCCACCTTCACTTGAATTGATAGTCCCACTAAACCTCTATTTATTCCCATGTTCCAAGACAATGTGGGGTCTCGGTGATCTTTTCCTGCTTATCTGTCCCTCTACTTTCCCTCTCTCACTCTCTCCTTCTCTTTCTTTTGTTCTGGCTGATAAAGGTTGACATCCTAGCCCACATCCCTGTCAAGCATGTCAACGGCGCTGGGATCAAAGAGCTGCCCCGGCCTGTAATTGACTTCCCATTACAGGGCTCTGAACCCCCAGCAAATAACCCTCAACAGTTGGTTATTTGCATGCGTTCCAGTACAGTTCAAATTCAGAGGAGCAAAAAGCAGGAAAGTGAGGGTGAAATGAAGGAAGTGAAAAGTGCAGGTTAACCAAAAGGACAATCGTGTGGTTTCTGTGTTGGGCTGCAGTTAACTAATTATCTATGAATTATCTCAATCATAAAGTATTAAGCAGCAATACAACTTTTTTATTGACAATACACTGATAAAAAGAAGTAATGTTTCTTGAGCAGTAAATCGGCATATTAGAATGTTTTCTGAAGGAACATGTGACATGTTAGCTTTGACATAACAAGAATAAATTACATTTTAAAATATATTCAAATAGAAAACAGTTATTTTAATTTGTAATAATATTTTATAATATTACTGTATTTGTGATTAAAAAAAATGCAGCCTTGGTGACATTAGCACATTAAAAAATATTAATGATTCCAAACTTTTGACCAGTAATGTGTATTTATAATATTTCTTTTCCCCCAAAAGATTGTTTTTGTTACACTCCACTTGATTGGCATGTATGCAGGCGCTTTATGAATTATTTTGATAAAATGCTCACATTATAACCATAATGTTTTTCCATAGGATTGCATTGTTCCTTGATAGAAGACTTGACTAATCTGTAATTAAATTTGTTTATTATTGTCATTTTGATTAACAATTTTATTGATTGGATGTTGCAGCTATAGTTAATATCGCTGTTTTGTTGGGTCGGACCGCATCTGGACTGGACTGTGTGTATATAAATGTGCGTCACTGTACTGCAGATCCCCCGAGTCTCAACATATGGCACTGATGCTGTACCGCTTTGTCAAATTACACTGGTTATAACTCTCTATACGTCAAGAGGCACAAGATGGGAGGAAGGCGGCTAAGGGGAAGGAAAGAAGTCGATTAGGGAGAGCAGTGAAAGTGAAAAAGAAATAATTTCTCCAAGTTCCAAGAGCAGAGAGAGATATATATTTAAAGAGGACACTCACGTATGAGTGCACAACGCAGTGAGACAGTCACGGGCCCATAAGGACGCGGAACGGCACGACGGGAGGGGGCATAAAGAAATGACAGACACAGCCGCCAGTGAAAATGCGTTGTGACAGATTGAACTCAGCAGTAGAGAGAGGAGGAGGAATATGATGCAGAATAAAACTGACAGTGCGAGTTTAGCCGCTAACTTGCTCTTTTTCTTGTTCCCAAGGGAATGTGTCATCAGCATCGGTCCAATTCACCTGCAGCCCTCTAGTGCGTTTGAAGGGGGCTAGAAAAACATGCCGGACTGTTGACATCAGTATCACATCGCATTCAATGCAGCAAAGACAGTGCTGTAGACATTAAAGAGCCAGCAGCAGCTGTACGTTTTAAATGCAGAGTATAATTAGTTGTGCTTGTAAGGACAAACATCATTATTATTGCTCATAATATTATTATGAAAAGGAGTTTGTTCTACATTTATCTGCAACTTATCACAACAGATACACCATTTGGGACCAGTTCGGTTTTAAAAGAAGGCTCTTATGTTCACCAAGGCTGCATTTATTTGTCAAAAAAGATATCACAATTGAAAATAATTATTTTCTATTTTAATATATTTTAAAATATGATGGCAAAGCTGAATTTTCAGCATCATTACTCCAGCCTTCAGAGTCACATGCTCCTTCAGAAATCTTTCTAATATGCTGATTTGCTGCTCAAGAAACATTTATTATTAGTTGAAAACATGCGTGCTGCTTAATATTTTTGTAGATATATTTTTTATATATAGAAATATATATTTTTTAACAACGTAATAGTAGTAGATCTACCAGTAGTTGATCTGGTAGTGTATGCATGATACTGTACAATTTCTTTTCTAAGTCATCAGTCTTGTCTGATGATAAAACAGGCACAAAAATAATAAAATAAAATAAAAAGATTTAAGATTTCAACTGAAGGAGGGTCCCAAAGCACATTTAAGAATCAAAATGTTGTTGAGACGTGGCTATTTTGACTTAGTCCAGTAAGCAACCACTCAGATCACCCTTGCAACCACTCAAAACATCTTAGCAACACCCTAGCAACCACTTAGAACACTCTAACAATGCCATAGCAACAATGGGAACTGAGACCTGGCTTGCATGGTACATCATCTCAAGTGGGATTGGTTCTGACCAACCTGTGTTATTTTGCATACAAACACATTTATCCTGTGGTCATTTGGCAGAAAGAGTTATGCCCCACAAATGGGCAATATTAATGGGAAACTTCAAGAAGGACATCTCAGGACATCAGAGGCTGTGTGTGTGTTTGTGTGCATGTGTCCTTCAGCGTGTTTTCGATCGTTAGTAGTCTTCTCCAGTGTCGGAACAACATGCCAAATGAACCTGGATAAAATGCTCAAATTGTTTAACCGAACATGTCTTCAGCCATGTTTGACATGTCAGGAATTTAACCTGAGGCTAAAGGAAGTTTGTGGTTCTAATAAAGAACACAGTTTAATTTGCATTGGAAAGCTTCACTGATTATTTAACTTTATCAACAGAAGAACACTCAACTGGATGAAAAGCAAAGCAGGTTTAGACACTGCATGCAGCTGCAGTATTAGAGTTGTAGTATTCCAGTTACTTTGGATAAAAGTGTCTGCAAAAATAAATGAAATGTACTGAATGCAAGCGTAGTGTAATGTTGCACACTAATATTGTACAGGGCATAGCCTAGATATCATTTCAGCTTAGCAAAGAAAGTCCTGCAGAAAAAAAATGTTTTAATTGTTTGTAATATTCATAAAAGTGCTATGGAAGTATTAGTACTCCAAGGTACTTTAATTCACACATACCAAACAATAAATATGGCTATTGTCCGAAAAGCAATGGTGTTACTTTTTGGCACTGTTTTGTTAGCGAAGCACTGCCATCTTTTTCTTCTTCAAATTTATAACCACAATGTTTTATTATTAATTAATTATTAATGACATTTTTCTTTACAGATAATACATTGGCCATTGTCCTGGGGAGTGTTGGTGCGGTGTTGGCGGTGGTTGTCATGGTGATAGCAATTGTTGTGTACACGAAGAAACAGAAGAAGTGAGTCCAAATGTGTTTCTTTTCAAGTTCATTTGTTTAGTTTAAATATGTTGAATATTAGTTGAAATTATTTAAGGAATAATTGACACCCGACTTTTTCGGGTGTGCATTATTTTATAATAATTCGACGGACTGGAGTCAATTATTCCACTTATACTACGGTTACAACACCTCAAGACATTGTTCAGATGTTGTATTTCAAGACATTTTTCAGGTTTGTATCCTTAAAATGCTCTTGTGAGTAGGAATCATTTCTTGCGCATCTCATCCCACGCCTCCGTTGCTAATTCCAAAACGTAATTTTAGAGCTAGTAATGGAGGCTTCAGCCACTGATAGCAGACTAATGCAGTTATTAGAGAGAGAGAGATAGAGAAAGAGAGAAATCAAGCCTATGTGAATTACCTGAGTGTATACTTTTGTCAATAATGTTCGGCAGCAGCGTTTCTACTAATAAGTTTACTAGTAAGTTGATCTGCTTCAAGAACAGCGCCGTTATTACCTCACTAGTGAGAAACGTTGTGTAGCTTTTAAGTTGTTAAACTATTTTACTGGTAAAATCGTCAGAGCAGCGCTGACAACACGTTTCTGTGCGACCGAGTGTCCGTAGGCTACTGTATGTGTGTGCGTTTGAGTGGAGAGAGAGCGGGAGAAAGAGAGTACGTGCTTTCCGCATAATAAAACGTGACTGTGTCAAAAACATGAAAATAATTTGTCGTTTTTATCGTATTGTTTAATTTATTTTCTTGGTCAGTGTCGTTGTGGGTTTTGGTTCTTTTGCTGTTGTAGTCTGTAAGGACCGTTTGAAATAACTGAAATCATTTGGCGAGTGATATGGAACTGTAATGCGGTCAAGACCTGCCTGGAACTTAGGCCTGTAGCGGCGCGTCGATGACGTCGACGCTTCGACGTCAAAAATTCGTCGACGTCATATTTTTTTGTCGACGCTTCTTTATTTATTTATGTATTTATTTTTTTGCACCGTTCCCGGCGGTACAGCTCGCCACACACACGTGGGAGACCGAAACATTGCAGAATCGAGGACGAAACAGCAACCTCTTCACAGAATTCACAACAAAGCCATGCAAATGTCCCAACAAAAGAAAAAGTCCTAAAAAACCCCAGCTTGCACTAAATCATCGAAGGTATGGGAATACTTCAAATTTAGTCCCAAACGTAAAGGTGTCGTTATTTGCGCTCTTTGTCAAATGGAGTTGACATCCCAAGTCTCCCGCATAGTGATAGCTCCCTGATGCCCGCAAATTAGTTAAAATCTCCCGGAATCTAGAGCTCGCGAGCTCCAAACCGTGTAGCGCGCGGCAGCGAGGGAGAGAGCGAGAGACCTTGCGCGTGTGTGTGCAAATGTGCGTGTGTGCCTTATGAAGCGCATGTAAACCCCACCCCCGTCAACAAAACCGAAAAATCAGTCCGGATGTTTTTTTATGAGCACTGAAAACATTAAAATGAGCACCACATCCAAGTGTGATAGGGCTCATTTGAGTAGCCTACCAAACATTTTACAGTGTAGATACTCTGTAAGAACCAGATCAAAATTGTTGTGCATTGAATGTGCACTCCTGCAATTTCCATGTTACAAAAAAGAATCGTTCAATTAGTCGTTAGATTAGTCGACTAATCGATAAAATAATCGACAGACTAATCGTTTAATTAATTATCGTTTACCCCAGCCCTACTGGAACTACTTTAGCCGTGCGTTTCCCTGAAAATAGTTGCACACCTTAGATTCGTCAACCAATCAGAGTCAAGCATTCAACAACCCTCTAGTATAAGCTGTTTTAAAGGGGTCATATAATGCCATTTTTGTACAAGCTAATATGATTCTTTAGGGTCTAAATTAAAAGTTTGTAATATACTTTAATTAAAAATTCTCATTAGTATTGTAAGAAAACACTTATTTTACCAGGTCAAAGACAGCTCTGTTTTCAGCACGCCGTTTCAGTGCATATGACTTTAAATGATAATGAGCTGTGCTCACTCCGCCTCTCTGTTCTGTGTACACCGTTTGTAACACAATAACCATAACGCGTTGTTCATTATAAACGTGGGATTATGAATTATATTGAGAACGTCATACATAGAAAACATGCCGTAATGTACCCTGAGTGTAAACCGCATTCATTGTGAAGCGTGGAGCTAGCGATTTGCAAAGATTATATATTATTATACCACGGCCTGTTTAAATACTCTATTCTGATTGGCTGGAAGGTGTGCAGTAAAACCGTTTAATGCACAGGTAGTTCCAGTCAGTTTGATTACAGTTCGAAATTAATCCGCTACTATAAACATTGGTAACCATAGTAACAGAGTTACACTTGCAAAAGAGTGAGAGAGAGAGAGACACATATGAAAACGTTTGGTAGGCTCAGAGCCATAGAGAGAAAGAGTTGCGACGCTCTTTGATCGCTCGCGATGGCTGTCACGTGGTTCATGTAAGCCCCAATAGTTCCAAAACATACGCGGGCTGTCATGTTCTTCTATGGACAGACAGCAGCGATTGCATTATTGACCGGTAAATATAAAATAAAACACACACCCAAGTACTTTTTCAGCTGTTACTGCATTATTGCATTTTGTTAATGTCTTAGATACGTTTTAGGCTTTTTTTTTTTTTTGAGGGAAAAGACAGAGCTAGATAAGATCGAAGACGACAAAGATGAGTTCAATACGAAAAAGACAACTAAATGGGCAGTTAACACTTTCAGTGACTTGTTGCGCCAAAGACAGAACAATTGTGATTTCGAGACCTAACGTTACTCTGCTTCTCTTTTAAATGAGACATTTCGGGAGTTTTATGCCTCTGTTCAGTCTACCGCTGGACGCGAATACAGTGTTGCAAGTTTGATGCGTCTCAGAGCAGGTATAAACCGTCACATTACAAAATACAACATCATAAGGGATAAAGACTTCAAGTCAAGCAATGCCGTCTTTAAATCAGTTTTAAAGCGCTACAAGAAAAATGGAAAAGACACCAGCGTTCATCATCCGCGTAAGAAAAGTTTGGTTTGACATACAGCTAATTCATTTAAATAAATGACATGATTAGTTCAAATAAAGCTTGCCTTGTCACTGTCAGTGTTGCCTATCATTCATAAATAATTTTAATAAATCCATGAATCATTAAGTTAGCTATACCTATGCTTAAGCAACGAGGGGACTGTAGACTTTAAAGAAGAGACGCTCATAGGTAACTCGCGCATGCATCTCTCTCTCTCTCTCTCTCTCTCTCTCTCTCTCTCTCTCTCTCTCTCTCTCTCTCTCTCTTTCTTCTCTTTCAGTTCTCTGTCTCTCTCTTTTAATAATGAATTTAAATAAATGTGATAATTCATTCAAACAAAAGCAATCCGATGGCTCTACTTTATTTCAAGCGGACGGAGTGCTAGAATTAACGAGCCGTAACTTAAGAAAATAACCGTCATTTTTACACGTCTCTTAAAAAATTACATTGTAAACATCAGTTACAGCTTTAACTTCTTATTAACTTGGCAGATAACCGAGGTATAAGTGGGATAATCCAAGGATCATGTGACAGCGTTCAACTAAAATAAATAAAAATAAATAAATTAATATATATATATATATATATATATATAAATATAAAATATATATACAGTGTATATATATATAGTATGAATATGGGTAGTGTGAATGAAATTGGGATGTAATACATCTGTCGTGTTGTCACTGTCATGTGGCCTCCGCTTCGCGTCGGGTGGTTCTTCGCCTCTACGTCGTGCATTAAAATCCTTTAATGCATGGCTAGCCGTGGATTATCCCTTACATATAAAGTTTAATAAAACGTTACACTCACTTCTGTTCTTCTGGAGATTCAGCAGGAACACGAATAGCTGGTACCGATCCTTTATTCATGAGCAGCTTCTTAGCAAATCCAGCTTTATACTGACCCTCCTTTATAAAGCAGTCTGGTGAGAAATGATTCGTGCACACATGAGAGCATTGACGTTGCTCGTGGGGAATATTCCATTCGAAAACAAACTCAGCCACTGCGTCTTCAGCGGTTCGGATTTAGGAACATTAAAATGACTGCTGTGTTCGTTATTACACCCAAGAACAGAACAACACAATCGCTTAGACGCCATTCTGCTCATAGACAGTGCTCCAGCATATCAACAATGACCGCGCCGGTCCGCGCAGACTATGATTGACAGCTGGCTTACGAGCGAGGGCGGGTCTGTGTTGAAACGCTCCTGTCAATCAACAATCGTGGGAGGGGCTTCCGACCGTGTGACGGTCGAATGGCTCAATTTGAGGCAGGGGAAAACATATAAGGAGATTAAAACAAAAACACTGGATGGATTTTTATCATTTTATGATGGTTGTGTACAGGCACTGCCAACACACATTTCAGTACAATCAACTTGTAAAAGTGCATGTACCATTATATGACCCCTTTAAGGAATGCTCGTTCAATACTATATAGAATGCGGAAACCAGGGCGTCAAAAGAGTAGTATGTCCAAATTCATAGTATATGAAAAATACACCCATGACCTACTACTGCCGAGATTCTGGAGTTCGCATTTGATGGACACTTTACTATCCCATGAAACCTTGGGAGGAGAGTTGTGAATGCAGTGCAGTGACATAACTGACACTGGTAGGCCACATGACAGTGACAACACGACAGATGTATTACATCCACACTACATCATTCACACTACCCATATTCATACTATATATATATATATATACATACACTGTATATATATTGATTTTTTTTTTTAGTTGAACGCTGTCACATGATCCTTCAGAAATCATTCTAATATAGACATCTTTTGTTACATAGCCTAATAAATGTCTTTACTGTCACTTTTAATAAATTGAATGCATTAATGCACCATTGCTAAATAAACAATAATGGGTGAACTATTATTTTAAATATACCAGTTAATATTTGTCTCTCCAAAAAAATAAAAATGTATTACTGCAGTCAAACTGCGTTTTTTTAATATCAAGTATTTAAT